GTGGATTTTTTTTTATTACAAGTGACAGATATTTTCAACTCAAAATAACAAACACAAATGGGAATTTCTCAGTTCACATAACTGAAAGTCCAGGGTAGTTCTGGCTCCACAAAAAAGAAGAGAAATGTTGTCACTAGTTAGTTGTTCCTTGTCTGTCGTACCTGTCTTGTGATCTTTTTGTTTCATTCTAAGGCCTTTGGTCCTGATCCTTTGCAACTCCTGGCTCATATCCTCTGGATTCATGTTCATCAGAAATGAGAATATCCTTCTCTTTTTAATAATGACATTTAATTGCTTCTCATTGACTCTGATTGTATCCTGTACCCAACCACAAACAAACTATTGTGAGTAGGAAATATTACACCTACTCATCCACCTGACTTGAGGATGGAGAAACTCTACTGGAAGCTCACTAACTAACAGTTTTTCCTTAAAGAGAAAGCCAATCATTTTGATCTCCCCATAGTGAAATTCTAAACTTTCCAGATTGTACCCTGGCTTACAACCAATATTTTTCCATAGAGTAAGAGGCAGTCTGCTTCTGCCAGGGCCCCCTCATGACACCACACTGTCAAGATATACTATGAATGTACTGTCCTAAGAAGTCCATGCCAATATAGTTATGCCATAAGTTAAACTTCCCTTGACTCCAGCTACTTTCCCCCCTTTTTCTGTATGCTTTCTTAATTCATCTGTGGTGTCTGAAGCTGCTGCAAGAAGCAGCAATTGTCATTCCTATTATCCATGCAATTTCATAGCTTTACCATCAAGCAGCCATCTCTGGACTATGAGCTACTTTTTTGTTAGTGGCTCTAGCCCTTCTCTAGAAAAAAAAATGAACTAGTTTTAATTGCATTTCCTCTCTCAGTTTTTGGATTAGGGGGGGAAGAGTCAGAGCTTTCCAATACTATCTGTGAAGAACTTGCTAGAGTTTGATGTTTCAGTTTAAAGTACATCTTCTGACTGGAATTTTTTACTTTTGCTCACTTCAGCTTATTTGAGCCACTTGGACAAAGCATGGTCATATATTACTGATCAGATCAAGAGTGTGGCATGGGGAAAGGCCAACAGAATTGTCCTTTCTGTCCTTGGAAGATCATGTTTAGTAGTCAAGGTCTGTACCTCAACCAAATCCTTTGATCATTCACTCTTTCTGTTCATTCCAAGGGATGCTCCTGAAAGATCTAAAATTGTTTTCTGAAAGGCTTTTCTTACCCACAGAAAGATGCTTGAACTGCATTTGAGATAGACTAGAAATACCAAGGAATCAAAACTCTAAGGAATAGGTCTAAAGGAAACACAGAAATTGGTAAATAAATATATCTGTTTATTTGTCTCTCAGTATCCTTGTCTCCTATGAAGAAAACGGTGTAAGCCCTCTTAGGGAGAATAGAAAATCCTCTCATTCTCAGAGCTTAGGCAAAATGACATTGCTTCTTGGGGAGAAGAAACAAAGCCTGTTTCCCTGAGAGAGGGCCAAATACCAACACTGGCACAGATCCATTCCTGCTAAGAGAACATGGATAAGAAAATCCCTCTGCTCCTGATAGAGAGGCAGAAAAACATCTTGGGTATGAGATTGTGTGCTAAGGAGCAGAAGTCAGCTACTACTGGAATAGAGCAGGAAACTCTGTCCCAGCTATGGCCAAACGGGGGGGGGGGGGGGACAGAGTTTCCAACAGAGTTTTGCATTCCTATTGGAATGCTAAAAAGGCATCCCTCCTAAGGACAAAAGATAATAGATCTGCTTTACACTCAGACTAGAAATAGGACCCCTCTGTACTGTGATACTAGCACTGATCATCAAGCAGTAATAATCAATTACATGGAGAAAGGCAAGAGCACTGAGGGGACTCTGTGTATGGCAAAGGTGGGGAGGACTGCTAAAAGCTGAAGACAAAGCAGGAACCCTTGGGAAAGCCCTCACACACTAGGCTTCACTCTAAGTACAAGGCGCAAGCTGCAAAGCTGAAGAAATTTGAAGATTGTGATTAATCAGGATAAAAATAGCAACAAAATGCAAACCCAGCTCAGATCCTGGATTCTTTGGCTCAATCCCACATGCTAAGGGCTTGACACAAAAGGTATGCAAATTTTTGGGTGCAGATAGATTTAATTCATTCTCTTCTGTTATAAGCATAATTCCAGGTATTTAATTTTTTAAAAAACAAAAACAATTAAGAGAAAAGCAACTAAGAACAAGAAAAAGCAACCAGTCAAGCCAGATTCAGAGATGACCCAGGTGTTGAAACCATCATTCAGAGACTATGAAATGATTATGATTAATATGCTGAAACACCTGGTTAAAATGTGAACAACTTTTGTGAACACGTGGGGAATTACAACAGAGTTATAGAAATGAATTAATTATATATAGGAAATTAAAACAATGCAAATAGAAAACATACTGTCTGTATCTGGGAGAAAACATCTGATACCTGCAACATAAAGGAAGAAAAATTTAATGTGGCAAATGGTTTCAGGGGATTCGGCCCATGGTAACCTGGTGCCAAGACAGAAGCACCATGGCAAAAGGGCATGCTGGATCAAGCTGCTCAATTCTTGGTGGCTTGGAGCAGAGCACAGGGGAAGAGCTGAATGGACAAGGAACCAGATATCATCTCCAAGGTCACACTCCCAGATTGACCAGACACACCAGAAATGTGCTTTATTCATCTGCTAGGTGTTTCTTAATCCACTCAAGCTGACAATCAAGATTTCCTTACCTTGATTAATCAAGGTAAGAAAATCTTTGAGTCAGCAGACTGGACAGAACAAGAAACAAACCATTGAACTTGAGGATAAATCAATAGAAATTATCAAAAGGAAGAAATACAGAGAGAAAAAAAGATTTTTTTAATAAAGGAGAGAAAAAAAAAGAATATAGCATTCCAGAACTGTGGCACAATATTAAAGTGCTAAAATACATGAAAATAAAATTCAAAAAAGAGGAAAGAAAATGGAGCAGAAAATATGCTTTAAGAGATAATGCCTACATGTTTTCCAAAATCAGTAAAAGTAAACAAGTTACCACTTAAGAGGCTCAGAGAACCTCTAGCATGACAAATACAAGCAAATATACATGCCCCTAATCAAACTGCTACTAACTAGAGAAAGAAAACTTTCTGGCAACAAAAGCCAAAAAAAACATTACATACAGAAGAATAAAGAATGACAAATTACTCATCAGAAACCTTGCAAAAGAGAGGATAATGAGTCAATATCCTCAAATGCTAAAGGAGAAAAAATTACTAACTCAGTACTCTATATTCACTGAAAATACTTTTCAACAATGAAAGTGAGCTAAAAGTATTTTTTCATATAAATAAAGGCTAAGAGAATTCACTGTTAATATATTGACACTGTAAGAAATGTTATAGGAACTTCTTCACACAGAAGAAAATTATTTTCTCTGTTTAAAAATAAGGGGTATCATAATTACAAATTGGGGGTATATATCAAAGATATTTTTCTTAGTTTTAACATCTTAAAGATGATTAAGATGTGGCTTAGAAAACATATCTTGTAAATGCCCAGATATATTGGGCTCTGTGTGAGCTATACTCTGTTTTACACAGTTCCTTCCTCTTGTTGCTGTTTAGACAGCCCTTTATAAACATAAAAACCAGTATTAGGTCAAAGAACTCATTAAAGACAGGCCACAGGCAGAATTTTCACTACAGATCAAATTTTCTGCCCTCTGATATAAATCAGAATAGTAACTGTGAATAGTTGTGTTACATGTAGAAGTAAAATGTATGGCAACCATAACAGGGGAGGAGGAAATAGATTGGTGGGAAGAAGATTGTATAATAGTGTCGGCAGATAGAGAATGATAAATGTAAATTGTATGTATAGTAAACCCTACAGAAATTGCTAGCAAAACCTAAAAGTAGCAATAAACTGGAATTATGAAAGATACTTAAATCCAAAAAGAGAGAATAAAACAATAAAAACTAATGGGACAAGTAATTGGGCAGGAGGTAGAATGAAATCCAACCATACCAATAATTACATTAATAATAAATAAACTAAATACCTCTACTAAAAGGTAGAGAATGTCAGAATTAATCAGAAGGCAACAGGACATACTCACTATATACTTTCTATGAAAACCCCACTTTAAATATAAATGAATTTATGATTGAATTTAATTGGTAAACTAAAAGTATAAGAACTAAAAAATGATATATCATGAAAACCTAGTTTAAAAAAAACTAAAGTGGCTGTATAAATATCAGACAAGTTTGATTTTAGAACAAGTAATACCAAGACTAAAGAGAGATATTACATTATGATTAAGGGGTCAATTATCAAGAAGCCACAATAATATTAGACATTTATGTATATATCAGAAGGTCAAAGTACACAAAGCAATAACTAAAAAAATGAAAAAAAAAACCAAATCCACAATTATAATTGGAGAGTCTAACACTCAGCAATTAGGAGACTAAAGACAGATCAGTAGGAACGTAAAAGTATAACAGTATCAATCAGCTTGATGTAATTGACATCTATAACATCCTCCACCTAATAATAGAATATACATTCATTTCAAGTACATATGGAACAATCTAGGCCATAAAACAAGTCTCAAAATATTGAAAGAATTAGAAAATTATACAAAGTATGTTGTCTGACCACAACAGAATTTGCCTAGAAATCGATAACGTAAAGTTATCTGGAAGACCCTAAATACTTGGAAATTAACCAACATATTTCTATATAATTCATAGTTCAAAGAAGAAGACACAAAGTAAATTGGAAAATATTTCAGTTGGATGAAAATTAAACCAAAACATACCAGAATCTGTAAGAGGTATATATAACAAAAATTTTGAATTGATACCATAAACCAAGCATTACTTTAGGTATTGGCAGTAGATTAGTGAAAAAAATGCAATGATACTCGTCCTTTATCTTCTACTGTAGCAGGGGTTGAGGATAAGACAACAATAAACATAATAACTATTATTAGTCTGTTAGTCCATGATGCATACCTTGAACATGAACAAATGGGGCAGAGTCAGGGAAATGGAGAGAGATGGCAAGGAGAGAGGCTGCCATTTAAATTGGATGGTTAGAGGAGGTGCCATTTTAAAGGGATTTTTGAGCAAAGACTTGAAAAAATTGAAGCAGTTAGGCAAACAGTTATGAGAGGGAAAGCATTCTAAGTATGAGATCATCTAGATCCAAGCTCCTAATACAAGAGCATACTTGATGTGGTTTGTTTATTTATTTATTTATTTATTTGTACTGGCGATCAAACTCAGGACCTTGCGCTTGCCAGGCAGGCAGCAGCACCACTGAGCTAAATCTCCAGCCCACTTGACATGTTTTAGAAACAGTGGACGCGTCAGTGTGGCAGAAAAGGAGTGAGAGGAGAGATGGGAGGTGAGAGTCAGAGGGGCAACAAGTAGCAACCTCAGGTATGGTCTTGTAGACAACTGGAAGAATGTTTGGCTTTTATTCTAAGTGTATAGGATCCACAGAAGGGTCCTGTGCAGAAGAGTGACATGGTTTCTTCTGGAATAAAGTACAGGTGCTAAGAGTAAAGGAAGAGAAATCAATAAGAGAGCTCCAGCAATCATACAAGCGATTATTGTAATAATTGAGAAGACACATTGGCAGTTGGGCCAGGAAGTAGAAGAGAGGTGGTGAGAATTTGTTACATTCTAGTTATATTAGAAGAAAGAGCTGACAAAAGTTCCTGATTTATTAGAGGTGATATTGAAGAAAAATAAAGGAGTCAAAGATGACTCAAGGTTTAGTCCGAACAATTAGAAGGCTGGAGTTGTCACCACTTAGATGGTGAAGGCTGTGGACAGGGAAGATTTGGAAGTAAAATGCAGTTTACTTGGAGACACAGTAAAAGTGTGTAGGTGTCTGTTGGCTGAATGTGAGAGTCTGTTGTTCACAAAAGTGAGGTCTGGATTGGAGATGTTAATTTCAGTGTCAGTATATAGACCTTATCAAATACCTGGCAGGAAAGAGAAGGTATAATCAAAGTGAGTAATCGTGAAAAGAAGTATTTACAGAAGTTAGTATTGGATTTAAGGAGATAAACAAGGAATGGTAGAGGGTAGTGTACTCCAGAGGTGTTCCAGCCCTGTGTGTAAAGACAGGAGAGGGAACATTCATCAGACCTGGTAGCTGTATGGAGAGAGTGGCCTTCCAGAGCAGGGCCTTCAAGGGCAGTGTGCAGTCTGACAGGGAATAAATACTCCAACCTGACTTGCCTTCAAAATTCGTATCTCCTGCCAGTGTGCCTTCTACGCCCCAAGCCCCAGTGAAGATTAAAGGTCAAGGAATCATGTTACTGTGCCTTCTGTGTGAGCAAAGTGAAAAGCACTGCAGAATGAATCTAGAGAGAAAAAGAGAAACTATGAAACATAAATATTACTTAAAGCCAAAAGCCTGGATTTAGATCAGCAGTGTATATGTGAAAAGAGATCCTGGAAGATTGAGCCCTAGGACATTCAAACATGAGGAAGAACTGGAGAATCGAGGTAGCCAGGGAAAGAAGGGCAAACCCAAGAATTTAGTTCCAGGAACATAGTGACTCAAAGTGTAGGAAATTATTTTGTCAAAAGCTGCTGGTATATGAAGGAAGATGAATTCATTGAAAATTTCCCAGTGAATGTAGCGGCATGGAAGTTACCAGTGACTGAACAGGGATAGTTTGGGTGGAGTAGTGGGACCAAGCATGTGGTTGAAGTAAAATTAAGAAAAGAAAAAGAGGGTCAGGGATTTAGCTCAGTGGCATCTCATCTGCCTTGCAAGCACAAGGTCCTGAGTTTGATCCCTGATACCACAAAAAAAGAAAAAAGAAAAGAAAAAGAAGCTAGAGGAATTGACTTAGCTAAGCACTACTTCAAGATGTTTTTCTATGAAGAGGAACAAAAAAAGGAAATGGTAGCTCTTTGGAGAATCGAGCAAGGTGAAGGCTTTGTTATAGTTCCATTTCATCTTTTGAAAGGAAGAAATGAAAATAACGGTTGCCTTCTGGTGGGTGGTCTCTATGAGCTTATAGAGAGCTAAGTGACTGGATATGAGGGGGCAGAGAGAGAGGGAGAGACAGAGAGAAAGAGACAGAGAGAGAGAGAGGAAATATTAAACCAACGTCCTCCCATAGCAGAGGGGGATAGGGTACAGAAGCACACCCTGAGAAAATCTTCATACTGAACTCACAGGTGTGTTTTAAGGAGTAAAAGAAATAATGCATGAATAACAATTGTTTCTAACATGTAGAAAGTACTCAGCAAATGTTAGCCATTCTTTAGCAATGAGATTAACTTTTCTAGACCTAATTTTTTCATCTACATAAAGAAGCTGGCAAATGACTTCCAGTTCTAACAAGCTGTTAGATGAGATTACTAAAGAAACTGCACGTGATGTGTAAAGAGGATCTAATTTCCAAGTCCAGATCACACAAGTCACAGTGTAGTGTTTACAAAGCAGCCAATACACAGCTGAAATATATACAACCCTACATGAAAACCGAATGCTGTGCAACAAGAAGATTCATAATGCCACTGCGTATTATAGCACTACAGCAGGGAAACAGTTACACAGGAGAATTCTCACAACACCTGAGTCTGCAAGACTCTAAATGCAATCAAGTCTGCACACTCCAATTGTAGACTCAGTTGCTATGTAAACTGTGCTTCAAAGGCATTTAAAGACTTAGCACAAGTAGCTTGAGGTTTAATCTTTTAATTCCATTGCTCCAAAAGTTCCTTGTAGGTTCAGTGAACAAGGAATTCAGACATAATATTAGAAAGAAACCCATTTTCAGGGAAGGGCTTAGGCATGGAAAAAAATGTGCTGCATTTAGTGTACAAAGGAGACTGCAGACTAATCTCTAAATTTACTCAGTCTATGGGTAATTCTCGAGCAGGGATTCCCACTGAAAAGATACATGCTTACAAAGTAAACTGTCTGAGGTGTACTTCTCCATCAGTAACCCCCGCCCCCGACACACACACCAGCACCTCCAAAGACCTCCTTCATTAGAGGGCTTGTGTTGAAATATGTTCACAAACATGCTAGTTTGGGTCATTTCTTCCCTGATAAAAGGCTTGATCCACTGTGGAACACTGTGTGCCACTTATGTACTAGAGAACATTTGCAGTTTAGAGGAGTAGAAATATCCAACAATCACATTATCAAACACAGTGTGGGTGTTCAAGCCACTTGTCACCTGGCCAAGCAGAATGAAGGCTGCCAGCTCTCCCAAGGTGCCCCTGCTACCTCAGGTATACAAGCGGGGTTCTAACCATAATGGAGCTTCTTGTCTGCAGAAAGTCACATGCACAAAGTTCCTGCAATTCTTTGATGACCTCAGAGATGGATGGTGTGAAGACTAATTTAAGTCACATAACCCATGAGGGCAGATCAGCATGTTTGGATGACATTTGGGAGCCATCTCACATATTAAATATGTGTACATAAGCACCACTGTAATAGATGAAGAAATACAGTGTCAGGAAAAACATATCACAATTTATCCAGCTTGAATAACCAGAGCTCGTTTACATATATATGATTTAATTTTTTTTTTTACGAGTCATTTGAGGGTGAGGTACATTTGCTATTCTAGGGTTGAGGAAGTGCTGAACATGATTTTCTCTCTCCCCCCTCCCCTTGGGAACCTGACAAGTGACTAAATACTCATGATACTCCTTGACACTTTTCTAAAATAACATACTAGAATTTTCTTCAGTTTTTAATTTTTAGTTCCATTAGCTGTTTAGTAGCTCAGAAGCCAGTTCAGAAATTGAAGTAGTGGGAGAAATATCACTGTGATAGAGAGGTTGTGGTGAGCTTGTGACTACTAATGTGATGTCCCAGATTTCTTGTTTTGACCAAGAAAATTATAATTGGTACCTACATTGCTCTACTTATAGAATCCAGACAATGATAAGGAGTGTTCTAAGGAGTGTTTCAAGAATTAGTACAATGTTTGAAAATCTCTTGGTATGTCTGGACAAGTTCTATTACTATTATTTAACATTATCACAAAGGTTGTGTTTTATTTTCATAATGGCATTGTCAAGGACTTTTCTTCTTTTACCTGTTGTTGTAGGTATAATACGATTTTTTAAAAACAAAGGAAAAACTTCTTTGAAGTTACAGACAGAGAGATAAGCACAAGAAAGGCATTTTTGGTATAGCAAAGCAATTTTACCACAAGTGTTATCAAAGTATAAAGGGAAAACACAAATTTGTAATGTTTTATCAAGTCAATATAATTAAGCCACATTTTACTAATGGTTACAAAGTTTGACACTGGAACAAAAAAAAACCCTCTTACACAGTAGTTTTTCATTAGAATTTTTATTGTATGTATTCTGTAATGGCAAGAAGTTGGATTTTTCGGGCTGGGGATTTAGCTCAGTGGTTCTGGCGCCTGCCTTATAAGTGCAAGGACCCGAGTTCGATCCCTGGTACCAAAAAAAAAAAAAAATTAAGTTGGATTTTTCATGTCCTTTTTTTCAACATAGGTGTTCACACTTGGATAATCGTGGTGAAAAAGAATGCTGGGGTTACCACTGAGCAAATAAAAATACAGGACACCCAATTAAATTTCAATTTCAGGGAATAAATAATTTTAGTATAAATATGCCCCATGCAATATTTGGGACATACTTAAACTAAAAAAATCATGCTCATATATGTGAAATTTATGTCTAAGTAGGTATCTGGCATTTGATCTGCCAACGTTAAGCATGCTTGGATTTTCCAATAGATCTGTGAGAGAGACAAAGTAGCTGGGTTTGTCACAGTTAAAAAGGGATCAGAGCTGAATGCTCCCTGAAAAGCTGATGAGACCTGACATGGTATCAATATATAAGATTACAAAGTAAGCGAGAATAGGGCTACAGTGGCAGGAAGAAGAGCAAGAAGCTGGATTTCTGCTCTATCTTGGCTCATGCTCAGGGTTCAAACCAGAGACCTGTGTAGGATCTATGCTGTTGTCCCAGGAGCGAGGCCAGGGACTGTCCTGGCAATTCTGGTCTTGATCAGTTCCAAGCCTTACCTGCCACACTGGTTCTCAG